TATATTGGTTCACCAACTAAGGACTACGTCTAGTCTTCCACTTAAATGTGGGTAATTCATTAATATTGTCAAGAATTGGATTACAATAATCTCTCCCCAAAAATATCCCTTAGAGGTCCCAACAAAAGTCTCTTAGCTTTTAAATATTCAATGACTTCACTTTTTTTTTTCATTCCTTTAATTCCCATTTTTTTGTCTCCAATCCCAACAGGTGAATGTAGTCCCAAGCTTAGGGTGATCCATTATATTTTATGGTGTTTTCTTTTTTATCCCTATCTCTTATTTCCTTTCTTATTGACTAAATCGTCGTCTCATTCATCCTATGGAAGATTGTTAGCTTTACGAGCTTCAATCATATCAAAATATTTTGATGATAACAAACTATATTTACTGATGGTTTTAGTGTTTCAAAGTATCTATAGTGTAGAGCTTGGAATGATGATTTCAACACCTTTCATATCACTCAAATCGATGTTCATACTAAGAAGTTATGGTCAAAACAAGTCAGGAGAAAAATCATACGTGGGGAGTGACATGGACAAGTAGACCACTCAAAAGCTGACATGTGGCATTAAGAGGACATACTTATGCTGACGTGGCATCCAATAATCGAACAAATGAGAAGACAACGTGTGGCACTTTCAATCTCTACAAATCAAATTTCCCACAAATCTCTTCATCTTTACAATCACTCAATCATCATCGATTCTTTTTCAATCTTCATATACTCTTTCAATCTCCATAAATATTCTTTATTCTTTTACCTTATCATTCACCTTAATCTACATCGTTCATCCTTGTTGCACATCCAATGGCGCAAATTCATCTTCAAAATTCTATTGAAAACCGCCAAATTCACCTTTCTTCACACACCAATTATAAAGCAAATATCTTTATCCTCTTCGATTTTTGCTCTCCAAATCTCTAAATTCTCATTCTATTATATATCAAAATTTGCTTATTTTTGTTATGGTGAGAGGTACATTAGAGTGGGAGCTTAGTCTATGTATTTGAGCGATTTTGTATTAAGGTGTGAGCGCACCTTAAGATTGTAAGAGTGGTTTGATCCTAAACCAGTGAAAATGATCGTATTGGTTTGGTTATGAGTCAGTGAAAAAGATCCTAGTGGTTTGATCTTGAACCAGTGAAAAAGATCGTATTGGTTGGATCTTGAACCAGTGAAAAAGATCGTATTGGTTGGATCTTGAACCAGTAAAAAGGTTCGTGAGTTTCTCTTTAGCTTAGTTCAAAAAGAGGGTCAATTGGGTTCTCACCTGCAAGAGAACCGTGCAGTAAAATATCTAAGAATGAGTCTTGGGGAGTAGAGTAGGGATTTTCGAACCACTATAAAAACTTATGGTGTCATCTCTCTCACTACTCTTTAATTAAGATCGTTGTTTTGGTGTAATTTAGATCTTTGATTATTCTGTGAGTGTTTTTCATTTCTGTACCAAAATATAGTGTGTTAGAACACTTAGAAGCTAAAAGGCTTTTGTTAGGACCTCTAGATGGTAGATATCTATGGAAGATAGATTTGAGTGTCTGTATCCAAACTTATTTTAGTGGAACCTGCATCTGATTGAAAGACTAAACGTAGCTCATAAACTGTTAGGGTGAACCAGTATAAATTCTTGTGTCGTTTATTGCTTTCCCTATATTTCTCTTGTGTGTTGTGTAATTGGCTTAGATAACTGGATATTACTGTGGAAGGGGAAATGTGTATAGCACCTTAATTTCCCAACAAGTGATATCAAATCGAAGGTTGCAGTATCATGGTATCCAATCAAAAGTCGCATCACTACTTCGAGTGGGTTATGAGATTTGATGGGGAGAACTTTGGGTTTTGGAAGATGCAAGTGACAGATCTTCTTACATACAAGAAGATTCCAAGATCCTGAAATACGATCAATCACTAGGATAAAAAATCAAGAGTGGACAAAGATGGATGAGCAAATAGTAGCAATCATCAGGTTATGTTTGTCGATGAACGTGGCAAGCCTCATGGTGAATCAGAGAACAAAGGACTGATGAAGGCTTTGACTGACATGTATTAAAAACCTAATGTAAACAGTAAGGTGTATCTCATTACGAAATACTTCAACATCCACATGGAGAGGGACTCCAATGAACTCCCACATAAATGAAGTCATCGATCTGATGAACAAGGTGGAGTCTATGGAGATAACTTTTTCAGAGGAGGTGAAGATTATAAAGTTGTTGTTTTCTTTGCCTGATAGTTGGGAGACAACGAAGATAGCGGTGTCGAATTCATTGGGGGATAAGTGTGTGAAATTCTCAAATGTTTGAAATGCTGCAATAGTTGAAGAGATTCACACGAAAGGAAAAGGAAAGAATTCTACTTCTACTTCTAGGTTGGAAAAACATATGGAATTAGCCTTGGTAGTTCAGAGCAATGGAAAAGCGAAAATGGAATATGGGAAAAGACAGCAAAGGCACAATCAGGACGATGGAATAACAATGGAGATGTGGAATGTTTCTATTGCCACAAGAAGGGACACGTCAAAAGATTTTGCAGGAAGCTTAAGGAGGATCAAGAAAAAGATGATGTTGTAAAATACTTGTCATCTAAGGTGTTGCTTGCTAGCGCTGAGATTAGCACATCTATAGAGCAGACACCATACTGGGCAATGGACAGTGCAGCCTTAGTACATATCGCTTCAGACAGACGGTTGTTTACATCTTTCACTACAGAGAACTTTGGCACGGTGAGAATGGGAAACAATAAACTCTCCAAGATCAAGGGCATCAGAGATGTTAATATGAAGATTGGCACTGGAATTGAGCTATTTTTTAGGGATGTCACATATGTGCGTAGTTTTAGGAGGAATATGATATCTGTTAGGAAGTTTGATGAATAAGGTTACAGTAGTGAGTTTGGAGATGGTAGTTGGAAGCTAGTGAGGGGATCTGAGGTAGTGGCAGTAGGCCACAAAGAAGCTTCAGTATATGTGTCTAGATTTGAGGTTGCCAAGGAATCACAGAGACAGAGGATGCACAGGACTGTATATGGTTCAGGGCGAGACTTGAAATGATCAATAGCAATGACAACCAAGACAGAAAATGAAAATCTAACATCAATTAAAGTAAAACAGTTGGGAAGTAGAGAGAGGGGAAAGGGGAACAGCTCAAACGAGGAGTTCAACAGGTTGGCAGTTTCTAACCCAATTGTTAGACGGGTTAGTGAGCTGATGCGGTCGGATAGGCGAAAGAGTGCATCGAGGGAACAGTGGGTAATGAAGTCAGGAGCGAAATCTCTAGAGTGGCAATAGACTTGAGTGGGAATGCCAAGCTATTAGAGGGTAAATCTTTCTTCAGAGGTCGTTGGGTTCAATCGAGGAAGGAAGCATCAGGGACCATTTAGATCGAGCAGGAGCATGTGGCTGTGTCTCTAACGTCTAGGAGACAAAACCACGTAGGATTGCTCAATCTCTAAGCGATTACAGACGAAACTTGGATAGGGTCGAGCACATGAGATTCAATTACTGTTGGTGCAATTAGAATTGACCTTTGCCAAGATGAGAGACATTGTTGGTTTAGTGGGAGGCGAGGTTGTCACTTTATCTTCAAGTGGGAGATTGTTGAGATTGGTGGAGCCAAATCGACGTCGAAACGAGTCAGGGGCGAGTTGGGATGCGTCGAGATGAAGAAGGAAAACAAAAGTGTCGCTTGCGCGTTTATATTGACGTTGCTGCAGTCGTAGCATTAAGACACTACAGGTAGCGTTTCAACGCTACATGGACTTTTAAATCGCCTTTTTGTTTTCCATTTAGGGTAGCCGTGAAACAAAAGGAGAAGTCGTGGGTTGTTTATCAGCAGCGTTTGAAGGAGATTTTCGTGGCAAATTAGAGGTAGTGGCTCAGGTATTGGCAGTATAGAAAGGGTACAGATCAATATCCGTTGTTTTGGGTAATTTAGATCTTGATTATTTTGTGAGTGGTTTTCATTTATGTAACTAAATATAGTGTATTATAATACTTATAAGCTAGTGGGCTTTTATTGAGACCTCTAGATGGTGAATATGTGAAGAGATATATGAGTGGCGGAGAAGATTTTGGAAAACATTGGTTCATGAGAAGATTAAAATGAGCTCCTGGCGTGTCTACAATGACATCATTCCAACGAAAGAGAATCTCATCTCCAGGGGCATCTCGATGAATCCTTTGTGTCCTCTGTCGGAAAACAACTGAATCTACCATCTACATCTACATTCTATGGAAGTGTAAGAAAATTCGTGACCTATGAAGTTATTTTTCTAATGTTTTTTCTTTTTTTATATATATATTTTTTCTGTTGATTACAGGTTTGTTGGATGGAGCACCAAAGTGTATTTCAAATGGACCTGGACATTCTTGGAGGATTTTGACGAACAGGCAATGCTTTTATTTGCTTGGGAAGATTTGCGAAGCTAGAAACAACGTGATTTTCAAATGGCAGACAGTTTGCTATTGTCAAGCATGGGCAAGGCTGTTGGATGCTGATATCTCTGTCGACATTTTCATGTCTATATATTTGATATGGACGAATCAACATTTTTATACCATCACCAAAAATATAAAAATATTAAAAAGTAATATCAACAAAATATGACTAATAGTACAAAATTTTAATTTGATTAAAAGAACTAAAATGCTTATTTGTTCATTTAATTATTTTTATAAATTTTTCATTTATATAATTCCACATGATATTTTATCGATATTTTTATCTACTCAACATTTCTATGAAATTATGAACACAACATTTTCATTCATGGATGGTGTTCAACAATCATGCTGAAATAGCTCATTTAGCCCTATTCAATTAATATTTATTTGTTTTTTAATTACAAAAGACCCAAAATAATTTAAAATAATTCCATACAAGATATTCAATTCCGAATGAGAAATTCAAAATTGAAGATTTGGAAGGAGATGAAGATTAAGATTCCCCAGGAACATGAACATCCCGCCCTGCTCAAAAGTAAAACATTTGCACATAGCTAAACAAAATAAAAATCCTCATGCTTTATAAATTTTGATGCTTGTCTATACAATTCATAACTACGTTCAGACACTAATGTGTACATGCAAAAATTCTGGCCTTCTTGAGCCACAACGTTTTATAAGAATAGAAATTACTCAGCAACGCCGAGGGACTGTTTTTACCCTCCTCATGAGCTTAACTGAGCCGATCGCCAACTATCGAACTTCACCAAATCAAAACCATCAATTTGTCAATCTTCATCTGTATCACAATGGCACCACAACTACTTAACATCTGATTCTTTAATTTCCTTGAAAAAGTTAAGGGAAGTTTGCCTAGATCGCTTGCCAAGAACTGGAAAAAGAAGTACAATAATAGTTAGATTTAACTACTTTAGTTAACATCGAAAGCATAACTTTGCACAGTAGAAAATAAGTAGTTCTGAAAGACCTTTTGTCTTGGTTAGGTTGTTGGAAGCAATGACAGAGGACTTCCACTGATTATACGCATGTTCAGCCATTGGCTTGCGTCGTTTAGATCTTGGAAACTAGAAATTGCACACCACATTAATAGTTGTTAATGCCAAATATAAGGCCATTGAAGCATAAACGGGACAATGGAAGAGAAGAAACAAGGATTACATCAAGACATTAAGAAGACAAACAACTTTTTGAAACAACAGCAGAAAGGCTTCAAACATGATATTGAAAAACAACTCTTCAGTACTTCCTCAATTTCGGCAAAAATGCAAAGCATGTCATCCTTGAACATGAAATATGGGAACATGAACAATTAGACTTCTTTCATGAAATTCTAGTACTTGCGATGCAGCTACTTGATACCTCTTCATCGTCATCCGATAAATGACCGCCATCCTCGAGTTTTCTTTTCTCTGGCAATGCGTCTAGGAGGTCTGTTGCAACGCAATCATAGGGAAGAGCAAAAACATAAGTTAAGCCGACAAAAAAGGTGTGAGAAAATGGGGAAATTTAAGGCATGAGAGACACATACCTCTGTTCCCATTGGCATCCCTGGGATCTTTCTTTTCATTTGCAATCCCAAAGACATCAAAGCACAAGTCCTTCATAGAAGTAGCAACCTGCTATGGTGGAAATTCGTTAATATTTGTCTCAATCCCTATATACAAATCAACAGAAAGGAAAAGCTCCTTACACATGAAAATTCAGATTCAGATGTACCACTGAGTTCAATGAGCTTAACTTTGTCAACTTTGAGCTGTTATATGAAGGAGCATTTATGGTAAGAATTATGGGGCAAACATATCAATGCTGCAAAACTAAAACGATGGATATAAACCACAAAGGTACCTTGTTCTTTTTTGCACACAGATAGAATGCTACAGCCGTAAATACCGATCGGGAGAAGTCAGCATTTGCCCGTCGAGAAGCTGGCAGTGATGCTACAAACCGATCCTTGTAACTAAAATAAACATAAATAGATGTCATATTTTGGACCAATCAAGTTTTAAAATGGAACCAAAAATCTAAACAACCAAAGAAATTAAGGTAGAAAATAAGGCCTAAAAATTTGAAGAATTTGAAGAATCTGAAAAGCTCTAATTATAGGGATCTTACAGGGACAAGCCCTTCTGCACTGATGTAACTAGCCTTACACACCCAAACTGCACTGCCAGTTCTCTGATATCGAGTCTGTTCCTGCAATACCAGAAAACCAATTCGTTCCAATTAACGAAATGGAATCAAGAGTAGTCACAGAGAGAAATACAGATCACGAAAGACGCACTTGAAACCAAGACCATTCTGCAACAAATTGAAAGATCTGGTGTACGCCTTTTCCGACATCCCGCTTAACTTGATTGCACCGGGTCGATCAAATAGAATCCCTAATCTGCGATAACATGCATCAATCCTCATAAACAACCAAAAATATCAATAGAAAGTGAATTAAAATCGAGAATGAATAAAGTTCAACCACGAATTCAAAACCCCTACCGTGTAGCGGCGATCTCCAAACAGATTACGGCCTTGCAAACCTCTCCCTAATAACCACAAACAACAACGAGTACTCAAACTAAATGCAGAATTGATCAAAACCGATCACGCATAGATCGGATGAGGAGTAGATTAAAGCCTACCACGCCAATAACGGAGGAATTCAAATGAAGATCCGAGAGACGACGAAGCTCCCCAGCTTTACGGATTAGGTTTTCGGAGTCTGAAAGCTCGAGCTTTCTGGCAATGTCGGAGAGATCCATGTGGAGGAAATTGCAGAGGAGGATGAGAGGAAGGATCGGCCGCGGAGAATGATTCAGAATTGAAGAAGATAAAACGAAGGAATTGGCGGGAGGATGAACACATTTTCAGGTTTTTCGCGCGCAGTGACTGAGGACGATTTCCGGGCGACATTTTGGCGCCAAGTGAAAATTTTCCTCTTCTGCTTTCGCGGCGTTGTAGGTGACTAAATCATTTTTTAAAATTATTCTCTTTTTTTTCTTTTAATTAGCAAATAAGTTGACTAATAATAGAAAATTAATAAAATAAAATTTATTATGTTGTTCTTCTATTCTAATATTCAGTTTTCTTTTTAAATAAAGTAATATGCTTTTTAAAATCCATATCTATACTATATAGGGATATAGAAAAAGAGGTACCTCTACTTTACCTTTCTCCATAAATATAATTGGTTTTAGTTATTTATTATGTGTTTTATTTAAATTAAATAAATATCAACAAATTTATTTAAAAGTTATAATCAGTGTTCTAAATGTTGTTCGACTTGACGTGTTGAGAGGCTCAACATCGACATAGTGGGGGAAAAATCGTTTTTCCCCCTTTATCGATGATATATAAAATATCGAGAAAATTATCGATATATCGACATATCGTTAAAAAAAATTAACTAAGAAGTTGGGCCTACAGAATGAGCCCAGCCCATCAACCATCGCGTAAGGAATAAATGGGCGGGGAGGGGATTTTATAGGGGCGACTCCCCTCCCCCTTGTTACCTTTCCGATATGGGATGGAAGCTTGCGTTTTTTTAGAGATAATGTTTTCGGAGGACTGTTTTTTAAACTTAATTTCACAAATGTCTAAAGTTTTCCAATTTTACACTTTTAGATTTCTGTATGCAATATTTTTTTAAAATACCGATTTTACCCTTTTTTTTACATTTACTTTTTTTTTTAATTTAAAAGATTTGAATCCCTAAATTGTAATCCTATTCTTTTAATTATTGTGAGCCTCATACAAAATTTCAACACTAATTGCTTGATTCACTACTTCAAAAAAAGATTTATTCATATGATTTACCATTATTATTAATGGAAAAAATATCCAATTACATCTCTCTTCATGTGTAAATTCCCACCGGTTTTTGGAAGTCACCGTCGGACGCATTTCAGATTTGATTCAATAGGTTCCTCTCCGTTCGAGCACTTTTTCCCCATATATCCCAATATATCCCTATACACAAAAAGGTAAAGAGTGCAAGACAACCATTATAAGATATATCCCTTTGTATCCCTACACACAAAAAGGGAAATGCACAAATTTGTTATGGTGCTTTATACGTTAAGATGAAACTCACTATAAGATATATTCCCATATAACCCTATATATACAACTATTAGATACTACTTGGGTATGGAATGAAGATTAGGATATATTGGAATATATACACACAAAAAAACAGTACAAGAAAAGGGTTTAACAGTACCCAAAAAAAACAAGGTTTTCAACATTAGAATATATTAGGATATATTGGAATGTAAACTTTTCGATCGGGATAAACGGAGACGAACTGCTCTGGTGACGAAGAAGAACGGAGGTGGGGGCCGGAGACGAAGGAACGAACAGAAACAGAACGACGGTAGAACGGAAACAGACTGCTTTGAGACGCGAATGGACAACTCTGCGACAGATACGAAGCCTTTGAGACAGACGAAGCAGACGAATGGAGGAGCAAACGAAATCGAGGTGAATCGTCGGAGAAGGCGCAAGTAGTCGGAAGAATAATCCCGGCGAACGGAGATGAAGACACAAACCGTCATTATTTTCGAATTTGGGGAATTTGGAGATATTTTTGGAGGTTTTCGAATTTGAGGGATTTGGGGATATTTTTGGATGTTTTGGTATTTTAGCTTCTTTTGGAAAGTATCATTAAGCAAATATCATGAGATTCGAAATATAACCTTCCAATTAATGAATTCTAGAATTTAAAAATCAGTCAATATTAATGTGTATATACAAAAGGATAGTTTTGTAATTTAGGTGATGCGTACCATCTTAAATAAGTTTGTTTCATGACAAAAGTGTAAATTTCATACATTCCATCCTTTTGTGTAATTAGGATCTTTAAATAGTTCAATTTTTACCATTGATATTTTTATTCCTGTTAGATTCTTTTTTTTAACTTTAGACCTTTTTTTTATTTAATTACAAATTTTCAAACCTATCATCCAATTTAAGCATCATATGCATATATGTGTATATATATATCAATAGTTAATATCTTGTTCAATTATGTATTGTTCTCAATTAAAAAAATTATCATACCTCGTTTCTTCAATATTTTGGTATATTTCAAAGAGATGACCGTCGAGATCACGTATGAAAATCGTGTCTATTTAATGGTTATGTAACGCACCGCATTCTCAGGCCAGTTTATTTAGAATTGTAATCTGTGCCTTCGGTTTTCCACCTATCTTTATAAATTGAATTTTTAGATTTTCTAATTTTTGAAATTCAAATTTTGGGTTAATTGGAACTTAAGTTTGAATACCTAGTTTAGATAAATTAAATTCATGAAATTTGGAAGATATTTTTAATTAAATCTTAATTCAAATTCTGAGAAAACTTATTTTTTCCATTTTAGATTTTATCTTTTGATTTCAAAATTCAAGTTCATCTATTCTCAAATACTTTTAAGAGTGAATTTCTTTCTAGAAAATAATTAGGATTTCTTCCTCTTTTATTTATAATGTCATTAGCCTTATTTTTTATTTAATAATTTTTTTTCTTTTTGGAAATAGAAGGAAAGAAAAAGAAAGGAAAGGAAAAGAAAATAAAAAGAGAAATCCTAAATCCATCCCTTCCTCCTCCTTTCAAACGCCAACCCACCCCCCCTATTTTGTACCCCTCAACCCCCAGCGATGTTCTTTGGTGATGCGAACTCCCTTCTCCAACAACACGACAATGACGAAGATCTGGATCTACAACCCGCAACTTGTAGCGTCCTTTGGCGGCGTGACCCACGAATAACCCTCGGACTATGATTTTCTTCCTGCGGCAACACAACCTCTTTCAAACGCGGAATCCGGTGACTCCCATGAACCTGCAGTGGTGGATCACGATACGGAACGATAGCTGACAACGCAGCTTTTCAGTGACCCTCCACGAAGGTCGACCTGCAGCTCTCCGATAAGGCGGCGTGACCTCCAATAGCGGTTTGTTCTCAATGCGGCAACGCTTGACGAATGGAGCATAGCCATGACTAGCGTGAGCTGCAACAACCTAATAATTCGTGGTCTCAATGCTAAACCCGCGACAGTTTCTTCCTTCCAGGAAAGTTATGCGCCTACCCACCCTTGTTCGAGCCCAAATCGGTGTTACCCACTCCCAGCATCGGACCAGCAAGCTCGAGCCCCTTCAAATTTTATTTCGCAGTGTCGGACTCCTTCGACATTGACCTAGTCTTAGCCAAGTGATTTGAGTAAGATTATGTAGGTAATAGAGTGTGTAGTCCCTTTTTTCAGTTCAATTTAACTGTTTCTATTTGGATTCTAACTTGAGCATTTATTTTTTTTGTTTTATGTACTGATTTTTTGTTGTTTAGACAAGCGTTAGAATCTTTTGTAAGTAGTTCTTACCTGAGGAATGTTTGTTGTGTGATACATATTTGTTTGCTTGCTCGGCTTGTGCCTTCGTTACTAATTTACATATTCTAATTATTTGTCGATGGTTATGCAAAAGTGATTGATTTCTGATATAATTTTACTTTACTTATTGTGAATTCTGAATATATAATTATTGGATATATGGGTTGGTTGTATCTATGAAAGCATACTGGAATATTTGTGAGTAGGTTTTTATGTTATAAAGCATACTAACGTTATTGTGGTTTTATGTGATTGCCATAACGCTTGGTTTTAAAGCATGTATGGTTGTGTTCATAGCATGTTATAATTTTGTGAGTTGAATGTTGCATGTGCCATTATTTAGAAATAATGTTGTAGGACTTATGTGTGAGAGTTGTACTTGTTATGAAAAGAATGGGTGAGTATCAATATCAGATGATTGATATGTAACTATTTGGATAAATGGTTGGGGGTAGATATACGTCAATTTTGGACAAAAATGAGTGTCAAGATTTCAAGTAAAAATGGTCGATGGTTGATGCGATGAGTCTTAATGGAAGGCATGTATTGGGGCCTTCGAAGGAAATGGCAAGGGCCAATGTTTTGCAAGGTCATCGAGGTCTTGGTCATAAGTGGTTAAAAGTAGATGCAACAATTCAGAGCCTTGGGTAAATGGCCAAGGGGACGAACGCCAAACGCCATAGAATAGTATTGAGACCTTGGGTAGATGGTCAGGGGTCTATACTGTTGGGTTTTGTGCCATAAACTTGTGGCTTGAATTGTGAACAAATTATTTATTCAATAAAATAATGGTTTTGCATAACTCAAAATCCAATAAATGAACATCTCAAGTTATTTGATGTAACTTGAATAGAATGTGGTCGACATACGGGTGGATCATGTTCCAGTAATAACCTAAAAATGATCTATAGTATATGGATAAAGTTGGATACCTTATCCTGGTGACAATATGGATATGACCCACTTCGTAATATTTACAAACGATTTGATCGAAATTGTTCATGTGGAGACATGTGCTTGGGGATATCCTATACAATGAGTTTGTATAAGGCTGGATCGCGAAATAATTAATCTCACTTGGTAACACCGTTGATTAACGAGATTAATATTTCATAGGGTGACCATATGTAACTCGATTTCAATCCTGAGCAAGTTATGAACTTCTACCGTTGAGGGATCGTCCTTTGATTTGTATGGGTGAGAATGACCCAGGTTACCAACTCAATAATCCTACCATTTTGGAAACAAGACTCAACGAGGAGCTGAGAACATAGCCACGCAAGATAGAATTCACTCCCTATTGTATTTATGGTAAGTAGACAAGTTGTTTCCTTAAGTGCTGACTCTGTGTCTTGAACAATTAAGCCTCACCCTCTTATTGGCCTGAGAGGGGCTTAGTTTATGGTTGGACAATAAACAGATTGTTCTATAATCAGTGGTACTTGAAGAGTGAGAAGTAACGGGGTAAAATGATAATTTGATCCAAC